CTGGAGGCTGTCTGCCACAACCAGGAAAGCTCGCAGGCCAATTGACATGCGCTCTGGGGTCATGATGATCTTGATCTGACGTCCCACAGAGAGCAGGTCAAAGACGATTTCACGCATTGCGAAGTCGAGTCTTTCCTGAATTGTGTAAAAAATATAGTTTTACAAGTGCATTCACCAAGCGAGTAATAAATACCATAATTTAATCAACTAACACAGAATTTCAAAGGTATATTCATTACTGCCAAACATAATCTCATATAGTACCTGGGCAATAAACTGAATGATCTTCACAAATATATTCAGTGGAGTATCTCTTGGGACAACTCCCTTGGAACCTTTTGGGAAAAGGGAGTTGACGATGCTAGCTAGTCGAGAGTGAGTGGCTGAATTGCTCTCGCACTTGATCCTGATCATGTACACCCACAGCAGGCGATACAGTGACTCTGGAAAGGTAATTATCCTTTCATTTATCTAAGTAAATTTCTATATATATAGTAAAGTTTTGACATGTATTCACATATACATGCCAAAGTGCAACTACCAAGTTACATGTTATTACTTGCTACTTGTGCAATTCTCATACTTTGTAAATCATGAAATTCAATTAACATGTATTCATATATATAACAGTACAAAAATTAATTAACATACCTAGGGCTACACGAGACATTTTAGGATCTCTGTTTTTCAAATGTTGTAGACACATTGCAAGAAAATAGTGCCAGTTGCTCAGGAAAAATGTTTTCTGTGATACACAGAGCAGACAAGTAACAAGTGGGAAGATAGGTAAGCGGTGCTTGTTCCTTGTTGCCATGTCTAAGGTTGTAGAATACAACATCTCCACAAAGTACTTCAGACAGGGCACATTCACTTCATGTTTCACAGTCTGGGGAAAGTTTAATGTTAAATTGATATTATGCAGCATTATCTCTGAATGAACATAATCTAATTAATGACAAAATTGCCCTAAATTTTTCCTTGAAATGAGGCATCTGATAGAAGGAATATGATCTTTTCCTGTCTGACAGGCTGGTGTGAAAGCTATAGTAATCACGTATGATACCTTAGTTACATACATGAAATGAGCTGACTTTATGCAACTGGGATTATTACCTTGTAAAACCAAGAAACTGGGAAGATGAAATAAAAAAGAGGTCAATACACCCTTCCAGTAATCTTTTAAATCCTCAACCACTCCTCCTCCGCTCTCACTTCTACTGATGCGAGATATGAATTAGATGCTAAAATTCAAAGAATCAGACACATAAAGAACTTTCTCCTTCCATCAAATTCCTCGTTTTCTGGTCCATTAAGGTCTGGTGGGATTTTTGCCTACTATGCGAAAATGAAGACAGGGGAACAAAAACACAGAAATGGAGGATTGAGCTTGAACACAGGAATAATGCAAACACTGATGATAGCTCTGTTGAGTATGAAGAACAAGACACCGGTCAGCCAATATAAAGACCCACCTGAGTAAAATATTGTAGGCAAAAGCAGGAGCACTGCAAATACATCCTCATCCACAATAAAGTGGTGGAGCAGACCAGAATCAAACCCAAGTAGACCCTTACTGCTGCCACCAGGTATAGCACTCAGGAAGACCCATAGACAGACTGTACTAGACCAAAAACAGGCTCAATAGGTGGCGCAGAAAAATAAAAAGGATCAATCTATCCAAGGAATTGAGACTTTTATCTTGCAGCTGGAGTTCTTGGGATATGAGGGGTGGCTGGGGTGGGTCTATCTCTCATTTCTTTTGTCCATTTGACTGCCTTTATAATACAAAATCATCTTCACTAATATATCTGATTAGGATGTATTACCTGATTGCTATAACCTCAAAGAACCAGAAAATCTTTATTTATATCAACAGCTCTCTTCCATATTAAAAATTGCCTATTAAGTTGATAACCTCCCCTTATTGTCAAGGGCTTCTAAACACACAAGGCAGCCTTAATCATTTAATATTCCCTAATATGCTTGTATCCTATGAAGAACTAGTATACAACTTTCATCCAATTATTTTCAAAGTTAAACAAAAAACACACCACAGAAAAATCCAAACTTACAGCAGCAACTGGAACCAGAATCTCCACAAAAAGCCCAGCCAAGGTGTGTTTGATATCTTTGTCTCGAACTTCTAAGAAATACTGAGCACATTCTTGCATGAACTGAAAAGATGCTTCAAATTCCTCAATTGGCACCATCTGAAAGGAGAGAAATTATTTACCTGTTATTCACCAACTTTGTATAGTATCTCTGCATTATTCATTCCTGCACCAACCCTATAAAAACTAATAATCAGATATCCTGAGAATACAAGAATAAATTGCAAATTTCTCTTTAAATTCTTGGCAACTTAAAAATAGATATCAACAAAGGTTGATCTTATACTGTGTTCAATAAAAATAATTTTGGTGCCAGGATAAGAATATATAGGAAATATCTATGAGAACATGGGAATAATCACCAAAAGTATGACAATATCATCTTTAGCCATTTATAGCTTCTCTGATCTTCCCTTCACCAACTGACCCACCTTAACCCTAAAGAACTTCATCCCCATTAACAGAGATGTAATGCTTTGTGTTGTGACTGATGACTGCTCTCTTGCCCGCAGCTCTTTCAGTTCTGCCATGAATCGTCTTCTGACTGACTGGAAGCGCGACTGTGCCAGGACACCAATGACCTCAGCATATAAGTCAGCAATGGTGTTAATGTTGGCACCATTGGGATTATTTTGAACACTGCAAGAAATGGAAAACTATATTACACACAAACAAAAAAAAATCTGTTACTCAATGTCAAAAGCAAATTACAATACTCGATAATTACATGCATTTGAGGAAAATCACTCCTTCATTTAAGAATGCAGAGAGAAATACAGTGCCTTACCCTTCCCTATACTTGAAGTGCTTAAAAGCAATATCTTCTATGTGGCGCACCAGGTCATCATGTCCAGGATGCACTGCCAACTGTCTCAATACTTCAATAAGCACTAAACAAAATATGAATTCCACCGCAAGGTCTCTGCGTTCCTGTATGGTTTCTCTGTCAACATTTGAGCCTGCATCAACCCTGTATACAGAGAATAAGAAAACAGATGTGATATAGTATACTTCAGCCAAATTTTTACAACCTGCAATCATTGACTCTGTTCACCATATACTTAGTAAATAGGAGAGACAATGTTAAGTTACCATAGAGATAATGTAAAACTTTCAATACTTCCAACCATTTCACAAAAATTAATAAATCATACTATTATATATTCCATTTACCACAATCTCCTTACATATAAAAACAGCAACAAGTGCAGCTCTTATCATAGACACATACATCATAAAATAAAAGAAATGAGACTTTAAATACTGCAACTGCTTTCTCACCCTTTGCTCTTGCTGGGATCCTGCTTATATTTGCTGTCTGTTGCACCCCATTCCACTCCTTGGCGATCATACCATGAAAAGAGGGTTCGCAAGAGAGAGGGCAAGCAATGCTCAGCGACACATCCAAATGCTAACAAGAGCTGGTCGAATGTTGGATCTTCACCTCGCTGCAAGCTCTTTGACAGACTCCGCTCCTGTAGAGCAAATGAAAATAAGGTCAAGTTGATTATGAGAAAATAACATATACATGTATCATTGCTATCAACACAGCATATGCAAGTATAAACCTATTCTCTCTTTTTTCATTCTTTCTTTTTTTTTATTATGGCAATGATGCACTTAGCAGGTTGCTGATCACTGGCTTTTTATTAAAATATGAACAGATTTGGCGAGTCAGACATGCAACTTTTTGTTTAGATTTACTGCATAAAGCCAATCATCCCCAACTTTTGCCTTCATAAGAAAAAAAAAAAAATTTAGGCTCATTGGAATTTATCTTGAACAAAATGTCTGTCCTGTAATACAACACCACTGGGCTACCAGCAGTCATAAAAATCAATAAGAGCCAGATTCAAATCAATGCCCAGAATCATGAAACCTGCGGCACAAGTGACATCCTTTTCATTAACAATTAGACATTTTTTAAACCACTATAAAAATCGTGCATCACACACTATAACATAATCCTTTCTATCAATGACAACACTTTGTTCATTTCAATTTAACCACATACTTAACCTGATGTCTTACCAAAGGGTCTTGCATGACTGCTTCAATCTTCTTGTCAGCCATTACTGTGAACTCAGCAAATAAGGTCCGCATAACAAACTCTCCTGGCCGCAAGTCTGTGTCAACGTGGACTGTTGCGGGGAACTGCGCCCTCTCCTTCCTTGCACCCCAGGGCAAGAGCGCAGATGCCTGTCCACCTGCATTACCACTACCACCTCCACCACTGCCATCAGTACTTGAATCTAGGAAAAGAGAGCATGGGGAGAATGCATAAAACATTTTCATACAAAGTAATTTAGTTAAAAAATAGCATTAGCTAGTAGTCTACTTAAATCTGGCAAGTAAAATTAGAGGAAAAAGTTCAAGCTCCTCAATGAATTATAGAAAATAACAATTCTCATTATTATACATTAAATCTTGCTTAGCACCTGAATGCAAGATGAAAAATTTTAACCAAATAGTAACAAAATATAATCACCTTTATGAATCATAAATCTACAAATACAGAATTACAGCAAACATTTGATCTAAATGATAGTGAATAGTGAAATAAAATAAATAAATAAATAAACAAATAAATAAATAAAATTGTTTGTATTTTGGCAATCAAAAAATATATAAACTCTTCCTGAACAACAAAGAATAAACTTATCTCTTCATCACATCCTAACAAAAATCCTCACCTGAAACTACTGTGTGCGAGCGCTCAGAAGATGGGTCGGCGGAATTTGTGCCATCGTTCGTAGATGATGACTGCTCATTCTCCTCGTCACTATTGATCTCCAGAAGCTCCTCCTGCCCTGCCTCTCTCCCGTCACCTGGCCCTCGTTCGCCCACCTCATCACCATCTGTGGAGCCAGTACGAAGAACTGAACCTTC